TGCCCCCCCTGTGCCCCCCGCCCGCGGTGGTGGGGGGGGGGGAGAGGGGAAAGGGGCAGAGAACAGCCCCCCTCCCAAGGGTGTAGTTACTGCAGGGAGGTATTGGGGGGGACTTTTCTCTCTCCCCAGGGAACAGGTACAAGGGGGGGAGGGTTGGGGATGAGGGCAGAGGCAGGGGTGAGCTGTCTCAGCTCGTCCTGGTGCTGGCACGCCTCTGGCAGAGGAGATACTGGGGCTGCCTCTGTCATCCCTGCCCAGCAGCCTTGTCCCCAAGGCCTGGCAGGGAGGTGATGCCCACCCAGGGCAAGCCCATCTCCCAGGCGTGAGCCAGCACATGGGTCTTGTTTGCTGTAGCTGCTGTGTCTTCATACTGCGAGAGTCCGACTCTGCCACTGCATTAAAAGTCACCCCAGAGGGATGTGACGGGACGCTGGGCCATGGTCACAAGGAGGAGATGCTGTCACCCCAGCCTGCAGCAGGAAAGGGCCTGAGCAGACTACTGCCCACCCCTCCGCTGCTCACAGGCAGGGCACCCAGCGGGTGCTTCTCCAATAGAATAAACTAAGAGTATTTTGTACAATAAACACAATTTGTCCAGCCCTCCCCCCATCCCGTCCCATCCCCAGCCCGAGGAAGGGGAGTCATGAAAAGAGGTGGCACTCCATGCCCCGGGGAGCCCTGCCCCAGGCCTGCTCCTCCTCCAGGCTCAAAGCAGCTCTTGTCCATGCACGACACGGGGAAGGGGCGAGATCGCAGCCCTGGCTGTGCAGGAGGTGCCTGTGCCAGCCCCTATTCCAGGTAGATGTCCTCTGTGGGGCACGTGTACTCCACATACTCCTTGTAGAATTGCTGAAAAGCCCTCCTGCAACACAGCACCGGGCAAAGCTGAGCAGCGTCCTCCCTGCAAGGCATTTACAGAGCCCCACTTCCCTTCTCACCCTCACTCCCTACTCTGCAGCCAGTTTGACTCTCCAGCCTGCCCCCCCAGCTCCTGGCCCCTCCTGCGTCAACACCCAGAGCTGCCATCAGAGCTGCAGGGTCTCCATCCTTGCTCTGATCCCCTGCACAGCGCCTGACTTTCAGCCATCTGCCTGCAAAGCCTTGCACTGGGACTTGTTCCAGTGCTGTCAGGAATATGCTGCCCGTAGCCCTGTCAGCCCTGGCTCTCGCCCCAAGCCTCTCATTTGAGAGAAGAGGTGCCAGCCTGCGGCCACGTCCAAGCACCACACGTATGGGGAGATTGCAGGATCAGCCTGGCTGCCTCGTTCCTCCTGCCCTTTGGGAGTAAGCGCCCCTCTCCCTGCCCAGCCGGGACTCACCCTACAGACTCCGCCAGTGGCTTCGTGGACTCCTCCGAGACGAAGACATGACAGGCAAATCTGTGGTCAGCAGGGTGCTTGGTGATGAACCCAAAATATCTGAGGGCAGAGAGAGCAGGTGTGACCGAAGCAGCAGACAGACAGGCACAGGTACCCCAGCATCCCTGAGGTGTATCCACCCTTGAACAGGGGGGACCTCCACACACACCACCCCACCCCACACAGCCTCTAGTGTGCCCCTCCCCCCCCCCCCCCCCCCCCCCCCCAGCCTCTAGTGACCACCAGCTGCCATGGCCCATGTCCAGAGCTGGGATGTAGTGCCCATCCAAATGCTGCTTTTGCATGAAGCTGCGGCGCTGGGCTCACAGGGGAAGGGGAGCCCTCAGGACCGGGGCATTGGGAAGCCTCCCCTCCCCTTCCCAGCCCCAGTCATGCTGCCCCCCAGGGAGGGGGAAGGCAGCAAAGCCTCCGTGCTGAGCTGCTGGTGTCAAGAGCTGCCCTGCACCTCCTTACTACTCACTTGTTGTTCTTTGGATGGTACCCACAAAAGGAAATGTTCTTCAGCTGGAAAAAATGGCTACACTTGTTTACCTGGTGGGGGGAGAGAGAGAGAGAGAGAGACGAACCGTCAAAGCTTTCCTCCCGCCCCCCCACTCTGCGGAACAGCCGGTCTCTGGCTGCTGGAAACACGTGCTTGGGCTGAGCAGTGAAATGAATTGGAGCCTGATCCTGGGCCGCCACCAGCAGCACTTTCAGGATGGCCTCAAGTACCTGCACACAGGGTGCTCTTCCAGGCAGCCCTGCTGGCTCCCACCCGGCTGCCTCCAGCAGCTCCTGCCAGCTTTCCCTGGAGACCCTGGGCTAGGCTGTACTCAGGCTAGAGTCAGTGCTGCTGTTCACCCAGCACACACCTCCTCCCTCATGAAAAAGGCTCTCAGAAATACCAGCAGATAGAAGGTGAATGGATAACTTAGTTCTAAGTCATGCAAGCCTGGGTGTTCACAGGGTCCCAGCCAGAAATGAGAAATATAATTTATATGAGTTCAAAGAGCAACTAAGTTGATGGCATCCTCTAAATACAGGCAAGACTTGTAGAAACTGCAGCCCAGGTCTCTGTCACAGCACTCGGAGCCATGAACTGCTCCTATCCTCCAGCTGTAGGAGAGGTTTCCCAACAGCTTGCTGCAAAGCCCTTGCTTGCCTCTGCCCAGCATCTTGCCACGCTTTGCTAGGCTACTTATGCAGAACGCTAATCAGCAGCCTGCCCTAGCCAGCTAACGAGATTACCGGGCAGACCTGGAGGACACCACTCAAAATAGTAGCAGAAAGGTTTAGGAGCAGCTGACAGATTACCGGTGCGGCTCAGTTCACAGCATCCCAGCACAGCAACACGCTTGGCAGCTGCAAGGGCATCAGCCGGCGGTACAGCCCCAAGCTGGGATCCTGTGAGGCACAGTGGACCCTGACAGTGGGCCTACAACCCCACTGATGGTGTTTCTCACAGTCTTAGACAGGTGGAAATCCTCCATTTCCATATGCAAACATGACCTGTAGCACAGGGGGCATGAGCCAGCAGCCAGGGAAAGGACGAGACAAGCAGGGACTGGGGCACTTACTGCCTTGCTGTGCTCCTTGGAGTCATCGGCTTTCACGGCAATCTTGACCCCACGCACACTGATCTCCAGGACGCAGCTGGAGGGTGGGTTAAAGTGCACAGTGAGGCGGCGCGTGGTGGCAATCTGGGGGGGGCGGAAGACAGACAAAGCCCTGGCACTTGTGAGCAGTGATGATGGCTCACCCTTTCCCTTACCCACTGAGGCTCTGCCCTGCTGCCAGGAGGACCAGGCGCTCCTGCTCCCAGGGATGGGGTGGGACACTACCTTCTGCATGGCTGCGCACAGCACGTCGTTGCCCTTGTGATAGGGAACCTGCACCGAGCCAAGGAACTTCACCCGAAACTGGTCCACCCAGTCGCTGCTCTTGGCCAGAGCTGGAAGAGAGAGCACGAGGTGGGGATCATCTCCAGTGACTGGGAACGTGGGCTGCGATCCACCTCCCCGCTCCATATTCCCACCCCTGTGTGTTTCCCTGCCCAGGGAAGGCTTCCCGCAGCACCAGGTCCCGGCATCGCACCAGAAGCTGCCCATTGCTCCCTGCTGGCTGCCCAGCTTGGCCCTCCCTCCATCCCCCTGCTCAGCACCAGGCTCTTCTCAGTGGAGAGGAGGTGGACACAAGATGGGGGACATCAGCAGGCTGCGCGCAGAGGCTTGGTACCTGTTACGTGGTCTGGGTCCTTGGTGACTTCGATAGCATAGTAGGCAGGAAAAATGCCCCGGTCACCCGTCCGCATGTTGTAGGCCTCATACCAATAATCTTCTGCCTGCACCTCCACCAGCAAAGGATCGTCCACCTCCAGCTCCAGCTCATCCGCGTGGCGAGGCACAAACCTGGGCAGGGAGGCACTAGCACCTGGCCAGCCAGCAGCACTGGTGGCCCTCTCACTGGCACACTGCTGGGGTAGGGGCAACACAAAACCCGACGCTGGCCCAGGCAGGCAGCAGCCTGGCAGGTGTAATTACCCATGGGGACCCGAGATGCTGAATAAAGCATCTGAGCAGGTTTAGGCTCAAAAGGTGTCAGCACCCTGGTACCTAAGGCAAGGGTATCCCTATGCACCACTCATGATGCTCCCCAGAGGTCCCAGCTGACCTCAGAGGTCTTGCCCCTGCAGCAGCCTGGGCAGATGTTGCTCCTGGGCAGGACACGAGCCATGGGCAGTGGTTTGGTCCCCGAGATGCTGAATAAAGCATCTGAGCAGGTTTAGGCTCAAAAGGTGTCAGCACCCTGGTACCTAAGGCAAGGGTATCCCTATGCACCACTCATGATGCTCCCCAGAGGTCCCAGCTGACCTCAGAGGTCTTGCCCCTGCAGCAGCCTGGGCAGATGTTGCTCCTGGGCAGGACACGAGCCATGGGCAGTGGTTTGGTCCCTGGGGCATCCCGAAAGCTGGAAACACTGGGGTTTGGGCTGGCCCCACTGTGGTGGGAGGGCAGCACCAGCTTTGCTCCATGAGGCTGGCAACACTGCTCGCACCTGCAAGCTCACCTAAAGACAGCACGGTGGGTCTGCTCCTGTTCCTCCCCATTGATCATGCAGGAGAACAACCCAAAAGACTCGGCACCTGGGGATGAAGGCAGAGGGGGACATCTCAGTGTTGAGGGGTCAGCACCACAACCAAGGGATGGACATCAAGCCAAACAGGCTGCTGATGGTCCGGGGGGTGGCTTGGCTAAGACAAAGCCATGCAGTGCCACACAAGAGAAAGGCAGAGCTAGAGTTGCTGCACTGGTGCGCGGTGGTCCCCGCTGGGACCACGACCTCCCTTTGCCACCCCACACAGCTGTGACAGCCGGTGTCACCAGCACTGTGGGACTGGCTGCACTGTGGGATGCCCTGCCTGCTGGGGCATGCCACCAGCCCCAGTGCTTCTCCAGGCTCAGGGAGGAGGGGAACACTCCAGGAGCGATGCTGTCCCCCAGTGAGACCACCCAGCCTTACCCTCAGCACAGCCATACCTTGGGCTAGCCAAAAAAGCAGCCTGAATTGTAGAATCATAGAATGATTTGGGTTGGAAGGGACCTTAAAGATCATATAGTTCCAACCCCCCTGCCATGGGAAAGGACATCTTCCACTAGATCAGGTTGCTCATCCAGCCTGGCCTTGAACACTTCCATCTTAGGGACAATTAAGAAACCCACATATAATCCATGCTTTAGATACAATATAAAAAAAATACCACTTCCCTGGTGTGCTTCTGATTGCCTTGAAAGTTTGCTGTATTTCTTTTCTCATTCTGCACACTGCCCACTTAGGATGATTTGCCACCTCCTTTCATGTCTCAACCACATGGGAAAGCAGATGAAGGTCCAGCGAGGTCCTGGACTCCCTGTACCTTTCTCTTCTCCAGGCTGAATAACGCCAACTCTCTCAGCCTGTCTTCAGAGGAGAGGTGCTCCAGCCCTCTGACATGGCCCTCCTCTGTCATGGCCCTCCTCTGGACTCGCTCCAAAAG